TTTGGCTTGTTTGTGTGTAGCCATTGTGAGCTTCACGTTACGTTGCTTTTGTTGTTTTGTCGTGTGTTAACTTCGTTAATAAACATGTATGCATTTCACGCTGCACCTTGGTCCAATCCTGTATTCAACGACCGTGACATGGTGGGCCGACATCCAAGCTGAGATATCTGCCAGGCACTCAGAGATGGGTGTCGCCACCTGGGTGGCAGAAGGGGGGAAGTAGAAAAGTAGTTGAACGTCATCCGCATAGCAATGATAGGAGAGACCATGTGAGGATATGACAGAGCCGAGTGACTTGGTGTATATAGAGAAGAGATCTTTGACTGAAGGAAAGCAACTCAGAATTAGCTATAGCATGGACAGCTCTGTCCACCCCATGACAAACCTAATCAGACAGCCCAAAGCAGTAGTAAGGACACTGCACCGTTTGAGGTGTGAAGTGTGGCTGAATATGAGGGGGAGAAGGAGATCGGGAGAGAGAGAGAGAGAGAGAGAGAGAGAGAGAGAGAGAAAGTGAGTGAGTGAGTGGGGTGGGGTGGGGGGCAATACACAACATCAAGGATAGCTGGTTCCAATTTCCAAAAAGTAGACAGCGAGAGGGGGCGGCTGTGATTTGTATCCACCAAAGTAGCCAACATAAAAAGCACTTTTGAATTTGCCTTACATGGTAAAAACAAGGGACATGCATTACAGCATCATTTTTGGACCCATTGTGTCAACATACTGGGTCATTAAATCTATGGTCATTGCTGGTATTAGACAAGGCTGAGTTGTAGTCTATTTTTGCTGCAATTTGCACTATGTTGTAAAGCACAGTCACAGTAGTTGTCAAATTGATAGGGAAAATAAAACGCCACCAGACATTACAGGTGCATGTTCCATTTCCTTATAGGTTATACATACCGTACAATACAGTAAAGTGAGGATGCACAGGGAGAGAGAGAGAGAGGGGCGGGGGGGGAGAAAGAGAGAGAGTGTCACGCTCTGGCTCCGGGACTTTGTATTTTGAGCCAGGGTGTGTTCGTTTTGGTTGTGTTTTGTTTTTGTTGGGTGGTCATTGGTTTTGTGTTTCCCTTATTTGGTCAATGACTCCCAATCGGAGGTAACGAGTGTCAGCTGTCGGCTCGTTATCTCTGATTGGGAGCCATATTTAAACTGTCGGTGTTCACCTTGTGTTGGTGGGATTTTGTTCGTGTGGTTTCTTGTTGTACCATAGACGTCACGTTTTCGTTGTTTTGTTCGTGTGTACGTTTAAATAATAAATATGTTCGCTACCAACGCTGCGCTTTGGTCCTACTTCATAGACGATCGTGACAGAAAATCCCACCAAGACCAGACCAAGCAGCGTGTCCAAGGGCCATCGCCAAATGATCTCCGTGGCAGCTTCGACTGGGTCAAGCCCATTGAGGAGTTGAGTGAGGAGGGTTGGAGACAGAGGAGCGAGAGGTGGGAGAGAATGTTGGAGGCCTGGAGAGACCCCCAGAAAATTTTTAGGGGGGGGCTCACGACATCGGGGCAGCAGGAGGCCGCTATGGAGCGGTCCAGCGGGGTTGCAGAGCAGGCCGCCAGGTTACGGGGGCCACTGGTAGAAGAGGGGATGGAAGGAGTAGAGGCACGGCGAGAGGTACTGGCGGGTGTTGCCAGTCCGGTCCGGCCCGTTCCAGATCCCGGTGTAGAGCCAGTGGTGTGTGTCCCCAGTACGGTCCGGTCTATTCCTGCTCCCCGCACCAAACCTACGGTGTGCGTCGACAGCCCAGCCCGGCCCGTTCCTGCGCTCCGCACCGAGTCTGTGGTGCGCGTCGCCAGCCCAGCCCGGCCTGTTCTTGCTCCACGCACAAAACCTACGGTGTGCGTCGCCAGCCCGGCCCGGCCTGTTCCTGCTCCACGCACGAAACCTACGGTGTGCGTCGCCGGACCGGCCCGGCATGTTCCTGCTCCACGCGCAGAGCCTACGGTGTGCGTCGCCAGCCCAGCCCGGCCTGTTCCTGCCACTCGCACTAAGCCTGCGGTGTGCGTCGTCGGCCCAGCCCGGCCCGTTCCTGCTACTCGCACTAAGCCAGGGGTGCGAGACGTCAGCCTGGTCCAGCCCGTTCCTGCTACTCGCACCAAACCAGGGATGCGAGTCGTCGGCCTGGTCCAGCCCGTTCCTGCTACTCGCACCAAGCCAAGGGTGCGAGTCGTCAGCCTGGTCCGGCCTGTTCCTGCTACTCGCACCAAGCCAAGGGTGCGAGTCGTCAGCCCGGTCCAGCCCATTCCTGCTGCTCGCACCAAGCCAGGGATGCGAGTCGTCAGCCTGGTGAGGTCCGTTCCGGCTCCACGCACCAAGCCTAGGGTGCGTATCGTCAGCCAGGTCCGGTCCGTTCCTGCCTCACGCGCTAAGCCAGGGGTGCGCGTCGTCAGTCCTGATCCAGCCAGCTGGGTCAGATCGGATCGGGGCCATTATGCGGGGATTGAAGTAGGGTGGTGGTCAAGCCCGGAGCCGGAGCCGCCTCCGAGGAGCAACACCCACCCAGCCCTCCCCTATTTGGGGTTTTGAGGCGCGGTCGCAGTCCGCGCCTTTAGGGGGGGGTACTGTCACGCTCTGGCTCCGGGACTTTGTATTTTGAGCCAGGGTGTGTTCGATTTGGTTGTGTTTTGTTTTGGTTGGGTGGTCATTGGTTTTGTGTTTCCCTTATTTGGTCAATGACTCCCAATCGGAGGTAACGAGTGTCAGCTGTCGGCTCGTTATCTCTGATTGGGAGCCATATTTAAACTGTCGGTGTTCACCTTGTGTTGGTGGGATTTTGTTCGTGTGGTTTCTTGTTGTACCATAGACGTCACGTTTTCGTTGTTTTGTTCGTGTGTACGTTTAAATAATAAATATGTTCGCTACCAACGCTGCGCTTTGGTCCTACTTCATAGACGATCGTGACAGAAAATCCCACCAAGACCAGACCAAGCAGCGTGTCCAAGGGCCATCGCCAAATGATCTCCGTGGCAGCTTCGACTGGGTCAAGCCCATTGAGGAGTTGAGTGAGGAGGGTTGGAGACAGAGGAGCGAGAGGTGGGAGAGAATGTTGGAGGCCTGGAGAGACCCCCAGAAAATTTTTAGGGGGGGGCTCACGTCGTCGGGGCAGCAGGTGTACGGGTTAGAGCGGTGCAAAGCGTTGGCAGAGAAGGCCGCCAGGTTAGGGGGGCCACTGGGCACAGAGGAGAGGGAAAGTGTGGAGGCACGGCGAGAGGTACTGGGGTGTGTTACCAGTCCGGTCCGGCCCGTTCCTGATCCCTGCGTGGGGCCAGTGGTGTGTGTCCCCAGTACGGTCCGGCCTGTTCCTGCCATTCCCACCAAGTCAGTGGTGCGCGTCGTCAGCCCAGCCCGGCCTGTTCCTGCCATTCCCACCAAGTCAGTGGTGCGCGTCGTCAGCCCAGCCCGGCCTGTTCCTGCCATTCCCACCAAGTCAGTGGTGCGCGTCGTCAGCCCGGCCCGGCCTGTTCCTGCCATTCCCACCAAGTCAGTGGTGCGCGTCATCAGCCCAGCCCGGCCTGTTCCTGCCATTCCCACCAAGTCAGTGGTGTGCGTCGACAGCCCAGCCCGGCCTGTCCCTGCTCCACGCACAAAGCCTACGGTGTGCGTCGCCAGCCCAGCCCGGTCTATTCCTGCTCCCCGCACCAAACCTACGGTGTGCGTCGACAGCCCAGCCCGGCCCGTTCCTGCTCTCCGCACCAAGTCTGTGGTGCGCGTCGCCAGCCCAGTCCGGCCCATCCAAGCTTCCCGCACCAAGCCAGTGGTGTGCGTCGTCAGTCCGGCACGGCCCGTGCCTGCTCTCCGCACCAAGTCTATGGTGCGTTTCGTCAGCCCTGTCCGGCCCGTTCCTGCTCCCCGCACCAAGTCTGTGGTGCGCGTCGCCAGCCCGGTCCGGCCCGTCCAAGCTCCCCGCACCGGGTCAGTGGTGCGCGTCGTCAGCCCGGTCCGGCTCATTCCTGCTCCCCGCACCAAGTCAGGGGTGCGCTTCGTCAGCCCGGTCCGGCCTGTTCCTCCTCCACGCAGCAAGCCAGGGGTGTGCGTCGTCAGTCCAGCACAACCCGTGCCTGGGTCATGTCCGGAGCCGGATCCGCCGCCGAGGCGGAGTGCCCACCCGGTCCCTCCCCTGTTGTGGTTGTTTGGCGCGGCCGGAGTCCGCGCCTTTGGGGGGGGGGTACTGTCACGCCCTGGCTCTGGGGACTATGTTATGTTGAGCCAGGGTGTGTAAGTCTATGTTTATTTTCTATGTTGGTCTGAGTGACTCCCAATCAGAGGCAACGAGTGTCAGCTGGGTGTCTCTGATTGGGAGCCATATTTAACTGTTTGTCTTGCACTTTGTGTTTTGTGGTTTCTTGTTCCTTTTGGTTGTGTATCGAAGGACTTCACGTTTCGTTCTTTGTTTTGATCGTGTGATCTAGAAAATAAATATCAATATGTTCACCCGCAACGCTGCGCCTTGGTCCTTTTCATTAGACGGTCGTGACAGAGAGGGAGCGAGAGAGTGCGAGAGAGAGCGAGAGAGAGCGAGAGAGAGCGAGAGAGAGAGAGAGAGAGAGAGAGAGAGAGAGAGAGAGAGAGAGAGAGAGAGAGAGAGAGAGAGAGAGAGAGAGAGAGAGAGAGAGTGTGTGTGTGTGTGTGTGTGTATGTGTTCAGAGAGGGGGGAGTAGTACAGCACCACTGAGAGGGCAACTAGTCATTTTACTGTCTCTGTGGATATCAGATGGACTTGAGTTATGAAGCTTAGACCTTTCCTAACCATGGTAAGCGCCCTTTTTTTGCAATCATTCTAATTGTTTGATAATAGCTCTTTCATTTCAAATATCTTTGTCATCTCACATGATCATTGACATAGTCATTGACTCATATTTTTATCAAATTTTGAAGGGAAAAAAAGTACCTTTTTATATATAATTCGTATCTTAATTTTTTCAGGTTTTTTGTTGACTGTTCCACCTCAAGGCAAATTAAAGCAGAAGAAAGGTGCCAACAGTGAAACACCATGGAGAATACTACTGACAACTCTCAAGATGTCTTCAATTTCACACAGAGTGAAGTTCTGACCAATATGCCACAGAACTCCATTGAAGTACAAGTTATAACAATTGTTCTCGCACTTATAATATGCGGAGTTGGGATAGCGGGGAATATTATGGTGGTATTGGTTGTGCTGCGCACCAAGCACATGATGACCCCTACTAACTGTTACCTTGTCAGTCTGGCTATTGCGGACCTTGTCGTCCTATTAGCGGCAGGTTTACCGAATATTTCCGAAGTAGTCGACTCTTGGATATACGGTTACGCTGGGTGCCTTTGTATCACATACCTGCAATATCTGGGTATCAATGTATCATCCTGCTCCATCACAGCCTTCACCATTGAGCGTTACATTGCTATCTGCCACTCCATCAAGGCGCAATTTATTTGCACCGTGTCTCGGGCAAAGAGGATAATTGCCTGTGTATGGGTTTTCACCTCGCTGTACTGCATAATGTGGTTCTTTTTAGTGGACACGAACGAAACCGTCTACGCCGATGGGGTGGTGGTCAGCTGTGGCTACCGTGTCTCAAGAAACCTCTACATGCCAATTTACTTTCTAGACTTTACTTTGTTTTACGTCTTCCCTCTCATTGTGGCTACTGTGCTGTACGGTCTCATCGCAAGGATATTATTTATGAGCCCCTTGCCAACCAATCTCAACGACAGAAGTGAAGGTTCTATACACCAGGGGCGCTCCACCAGCACCGTCAAGGTGTCGGGCAAATCGAACAAGGGTGCAGTGACGTCAAGAAAACAGGTAAGGCTACAATTTGTAAATTATTGTGGAAAATAGTAATTATTGCTTTATAAAGGCTATTAAATTGACAAAATAGTGTACAAAATGTGTTCAAAAAATAATTTAGGCAACAATATAAAAAATGATGTTCACTTTGAAAGTTTATCAATGTTTATAAATGTAGTGTGTAGTTTATCTACACAATGCAGGCTAGTGCGTAGTTCATCAATGTAGTGTGGAGGATACAGAAGCAGGCTCGTAGTAATGGTTTCAAAGTTAATAGCATTCTGTTATTATCACCTTACATTAATTATAGCTTTGTTTACCATCATTAGACTGTTCCACTCTACACCAAAAAATAAAATGGTTTTGTCTTTGCAATTTGAAATGTAGGCCTAAAGGCCCTTTCATCAGTCAAACAAACAACCAGGAACTTTTGAGTCAATTATTATGACACTGTAGTAACATTTACAGTATTATGAAGAACCTGAATATTAGAACACCATTTTCTTTCTCCCCATAATTTAGGTTACTAAGATGCTAGCAGTGGTGGTGATTCTTTTCTCCCTGCTCTGGATGCCATACCGGACACTGGTGGTGGTCAACTCTTTCATGGACCCACCCTACCTCAACACGTGGTTCCTGCTCTTCTGCCGCATGTGCATCTACACCAACAGTGCCATCAACCCTATCATCTACAACCTGATGTCTCAGAAGTTCCGGGCCGCCTTCAAAAAGCTTTGCAAGTGCAAGGGCCAAGACCCAGAGAAAGTTACCAAGTACAGTGTGCCAGTGTATTACAGTGTCATGAAGGACTCTTCCCATGAGACTCATGAGCAGACAGAGCAGGAGGATGTCAGCAGCTTTGGTAACACTGGTGGTAAGAGGGTCAACTTCACAGATGAGTGTGGGGACACCGTCACCATGTTCAGCATTGCCTGACAGAAGGACAAAATTGAGAGCAGTTCTTTGTGTAAAATGAGGTTTTATAAATGCACCATTAATTTGACGTACAGTATTTTTGCCATATGTGTCAAAGGTCAGTACTAGTGTACTCTTTTCTTGTACATACACTTTGTCATTTAATGTTGAAATGTATTGACCATCTGCTATATTTTACATTCTTATAGCACAGCCCAAACCTACAGTATATCACCTAATATTTAGGTAGAGAGTTTCAAATTTAAAACCCACATTCAGTCAACCAAACAATCTAAAAGTTTGGCTGTAGAGCTCATGAGGGTTGGAGACTATCCTGGGTTTAATGTTTGCATTTTAATCAGAAACTCATTCAAACTTAGAGCAGCAGGTGGATGGACTAGTTAGTCAATCAATAACAATAATTACTCAATTAAGAACCAGGTAGAAACAGAAACAACAGGACTGCAGCCTCTGAGTTGTGAACTCCTATTATATAGTAATTTACAAGAAGTAAAGACTTGAGTGTCAGCTTGAATGTCACATGACTAATATTATCAAAAAACCTTCATGCAGATTGTGGGTTTGTTTGATATTGGCCTCTTGAAACCACTGAAACTATTGCGCTCATCACACTGTACAGTATCTGTTTTGGTCTATGTATGTTGAAGCATGTAAATCCTGTTGTAAAATGTGAAAGTGTTTAAGATAGAATGTTTTGTTAATATATTGCATATAGCTTTTTTGCATTTTCAAATACAGCACTTTCTCATACCGGTTGTAACAATGTTCAGATATTCCGTAACAGTCATGGCTTTTTGGGGACTTGATTTTTGTGATTAATTGTAGCAATTAATTGAATTAAAGGCGACCAACCAACATGCTGTTGTCCAATATTTGTGGAAGAGCGAGTAGGCAAACAACAACAAGTTATTTGCCATAAAGTTAAGTAATGGAAACTGGGAGGCAGCTGGCCTGATTGTTTATAGAATCTGAAACTCAAACATTCAAAAACTGTATGGAGTGCAGTAGAAATATCCAGCTTTACATTGGCATGTACATCAAATTGTTTTCAAAACATCCCATTTGTTTACTAGGTCCATACACCACCTGTCAGTTTGAGATCCTGTAGGTAATGAACACAAGTCAAGTTTGACATCCGTCAATTTCAGCACCACCCCAGGGAACAGCGCCAACAACACACAGCTCAAATCTTTGGCTGCAATCACTGAAACGTGGGCTATTTCAGGTCTATAACATTGTTTTGTCTACTCTGTCTTTTAGTTCTTTCCCTCTATAATCTGTGCATGTTTGATTTCCCACCAAGATGTTAAAACGGCTTTTATAGATTTGCATTCAAATTGACCCATTTCGAAGAAGGAAAATATATTTAGAGGCTTAGACAAAGATTCTATTCAATACTTTTTCAAATTCCAGTTTATTAATTGCCCTCCTCTAACATTTTCCCTGAAAGCATACATTTATCAGCTAAACATTCCCTTTCAGTTTGCATTGTGATGCCCCCCCTTCCCTTCAACAGTGTCAGTTAGTTTGACAGTAATGCTGTGCTTGGTAAATAGTGGTTCTATACTGGGACCTGCCAGATCACAGATTTTTACGCAGCTCTGCTCTGCTTTAGATGCTTGCCAGGTTACAGCACCGTCGTCTTCACACAGCCTCAGTGATGATCATAGTCAGTCATAAACAATGGAGGAGTATCCATACTACAACAAACATCAATTTACATTGTGTTCTGCTGAACCTAATTAGTATTTATGGATTCTGGTTATGGGCTGAAGAGTTTTCTTCCAGTCTTTCAGACATTATAAGAGCCATTCCTTTCTCATCAAGCTCTACATTTAAAGCCAGAGAGGGGTAATTCCTACGGTTCATTGTCTATTTTAATCCCCCTTGTGCTATGAGCTTCTTTCTCAGAAACCAAGATAACTAGGTTGAATCACGCACAAGGTTTTAGCAGCCTTTCTCTCAGACAGGGTTTGCTCAATAAAATTTAAATTTAGTATGCTTTGCACAGGGGGGGTGGGGTGGGGTGGGGGGGGGGGGGGGGGGGGGGGTGGTACTGCTGAATTTTAAGAGGTTTCTAGGGAGATAGTTTTTTCAAAAGATTTGCATCAGGTAAGAATAGCTACACAGTTCACATTCATGAATATTACTATAAAATGCCTGCAGCGACTAAAATAGAAAGAATAGAATGAAAAGGAGGGTATTCTGACTGCAAGACGTTTGAGTCAAACTTTTAGACTTTAATGTAGACTATTTGTTCACATACTGCAACATAATGTGGGTAGTGCATCATTGATCCAAACTGATAAGAAAATGTTATTTTGATTATATGATTTGAACATTGATGGCAGGGTAGACACTCATACCCAGCCATGGCCATGCATAACCTGTGCACCACAACATTTAGTCTGTATACAGTGGCTTGCGAAAGTATTCACCCACCTTGGATTTTTCCTGTTTTGTTGCCTTACAACCTGGAATTAAAATAGATTTTTTGGGGGTTTGTATCATTTGATTTACACAACATGCCTACCACTTTGAAGATGCAAAATATTTTTTATTGTGAAACAAACAAGAAATAAGACAAAAAAACAGAAAACTTTAGCGTGCATAACTATTCACCCCCCCAAAGTCAATACTTTGTAGAGCCACCTTTTGCAGCAATTACAGCTGCAAGTCTCTTGGGGTATGTCTCTATGAGCTTGGCACATCTAGCCACTGGGATTTTTGCACATTCTTCAAGGCAAAACTGCTCCAGCTCCTTCAAGTTGGATGGGTTCCGCTGGTGTACAGCAATCTTTAAGTCATCCCACAGATTCTCAATTGGATTGAGGTCTGAGCTTTGACTAGGCCATTCCAAGACATTTAAATGTTTTCCCTTAAACCACTCAAGTGTTGCTTTAGCAGTATGCTTAGGTTCATTGTCCTGCTGGAAGGTGAACCTCCGTCCCAGTCTCAAATCTCTGGAAGACTGAAAGAATTTCCCTGTATTTAGCGCCATCCATCATTCCTTCAATTCTGACCAGTTTCCCAGTCTCTGCCGATGGTGTTGGGTTTGCGCCAGACATAGCATTTTCCTTGATGGCCAAAAAGCTCAATTTTAGTCTCATCTGACCAGAGTACCTTCTTCCATATGTTTGGGGAGTCTCCCACATGCCTTTTGGCGAACACCAAACGTGTTTGCTTATTGTTTTCTTTAAGCAATGGCTTTTTTCTGGCCACTCTTCCATAAAGCCCAGCTCTGTGGAATGTATGGCTTAAAGTATGGCTTAAAGTGGTCCTATGGACAGATACTCCAATCTCCGCTGTGGAGCTTTGCAGCTCCTTCAGGGTTATCTTTGGTATCTTTGTTGCCTCTCTGATTAATGCCCTCCTTGCCTGGTCCGTTAGTTTTGGTGGGCGGCCCTCTCTTGGCAGGTTTGTTGTGGTGCCATATTTTTTCAATTTTTTAATAATGGATTTAATGGTGCTCCGTGGGATGTTCAAAGTTTCTGATATTTTTTTATAAACCAACCCTGATCTGTACTTCTCCACAACTTTGTCCCTGACATGTTTGGAGAGCTCCTTGGTCTTCATGGTGCCGCTTGCTTGGTGGTGCCTCTTGCTCAGTGGTGTTGCAGACTCTGGGGCCTTTCAGAACAGGTGTATATATACTGAGATCATATGACAGATCATGTGACACTTAGATTGCACACAGGTGGACTTTATTTAACTAATTATGTGACTTCTGAAGGTAATTGGTTGCACCAGATCTTATTTAGGGGCTTCATAGCAAAGGGGGTGAATACATATGCACGCACCACTTTTCCGTTATTTATTTTGTAGACTTTTTTGAAACAAGTTATTTTTTTCATTTCACTTCACCAATTCGGACTATTTTGTGTATGTCCATTACATGAAATCCAAATAAAAATCAATATAAATTACAGGTTGTAATGCAACAAAATAGGAAAAAATGCCAAGGGGGATGAATACTTTTGCAAGGCATTGTATGTGTTGTAAGACTACTAATGTAGTTATACAAAGCAACTCTGACAACAATGCACTCTTCTGTGCCATGCCTTTCACATGTAGCCTACTAAGCCTCACTATGATAGGGATGGAAGTAATTCATCCACCTCTTACCCCTCAAGGGTGTCTGCCTCCTCACTATTAGGATTAAAACCAGCACAATCAAAGGCTCAGCAGAGACAGACAATAGCCATTCTGTATGGAGAGGTGAATCATATCTGTTTTGGTTTTCAGGATGTCTATTATGCAGCACTGAAGAGTCCACTCAAATGGACTCTTTCTATTTTTTCATTTCATGGTTATTAATCCTCTCCTCTGTCTGAATATGAATTATGCATTGCCTGGAATATCATGTACTGAGGTAACACTGAGAAACAAGCCTTCATTCAGTTGTCTATATCTGTTACTGCTCACGTCCGACAGTTAAACCTTATGTATTTTATCACTCTGTTTCTAACAGAAGATCGTTTTCAGCGTTGTCTACAGTTTCTTTGAATGAAATCGCTGTGTGAACAGTATGTACAGTATACTATAGATGACATTTTCTTGAGAAGCATACAAGGATGAAGAAGAGCTAGAAGAAGGCTGAGAGGAAGTAAGATGAGGAGAAGCAGACAGTATAGGATCATTGCAAAGTATTAGTTGATTTTAGAGGTTTATATTTCAGACGTTTAGTAGACATGAACACCAAAGAGGAAAGAAACCCAAAGGCATGTACTTCATATTTGGGCAATCAGACCCACCAGACATAATCAAGTCTGTGAGAGCACCCATTGCAGTCTCAATAATTGTTCTCAAGGCCACTGCAATGGCCATTTTGATGGCAATGAAAATGAATTTCTTCAGCAAAGACTCACTAAGCACATTTCATTTGTTTTAGATCTCTTTTCAGTATGCTCTGAGGTGCATATGAATCTTATATATTGTGGCTTTAATAAACAGAGGTAAGGTGG